AATGCAATGCATGCTAATAAAATGTTATTGTGAATGCGGAAAAAAAAGTGTGTTTATTTATTTTATTTTATTTATTGCTATTGCATAGGGTTAGGTTGACCGATTGATATATTAATAAAAACGTATTCACATTAGGCATACATCTCGTCATCATAAATCATCTAGGTATTGAAGGTAATCCTGATTCTGTTCTTTTAGACGCACCCACTTAAGATCGAAGACAAAGGTGAAACTATTCGATGAGGAGCGTATTCATACATACATGCAACTCTACCACGTCATGTCCGCTCAGGATTCGCAAAAATTATACGGGATCGCTCTACTTTCGAACCAAGTATTCCTTTTCATGGTTTGTTCTACTTTGTTTTTTGCATAGAAGTATTTCTAAAAAGCCAACATGCGGTACAATAAACTCTCACTGCTATATGGGTTCAAGGATATTCAGAGAAGTTTCAGCCTACACCATTTCCGCGTATTGTTACGCCGATAGCAAACCGTTGTTAAAGGAATCTTGCGCGGAAAAATCATGATTCTATTTCAGCCATAAATCACTGGCTTGAGACTCATTATCCACGATAATAGTGAAAAGAACTGAAGTATTGCTTTCGTTTTGATTAGAAATTCGAAAACTCGAAAAGGCTGCTACGCGTTCGAATTGCCCACGGACGTCTTTCACGAATGCTGGCGACGGGGATGCTCAAACTTGGTTCTTGGAGTGCATTCACTAGAAGCTCTTTCTGGCCTTCTGCTTCGTTGCATTCACATCTTACACTTCTACTCCATCCTATTCCATCGATCGATTTGTCTCCACTCTCCGAAATCGCGCGCTTTAACCCGATTCTCTCATTGCGTCGCCTGGTACGTAGCCGGCCAAACGCCGTCTTCTTTCCATGCCTCGCCTGGCTCTGCCTCCTGTCCTTCGATGGTCCATAACGTGTAGTTTTTGTACGTTTGTTTCTCTTCAGAAACCGAATCTTCATGCGTGAAACTTTGTGTGCTATTTCCAGTGATCACAACTGACATATTCATGTTAGGAAAGAGTGCAAGAATTTTCCGCGCAAGATTCCTTTAAGCTCGATTGCAGACTTGATAAGCTTTCTATTCAGTAAAAAAAAACTTCGATAAGTACCGGCTAAATCAGCCTGGAATAGTGCGGAGAAGTGATTTTGTGCCATGAGCCGAATATTTTTACCCCGTAGGCTCAGGTGGGAGCAGCGTAGGGAAGGACCTCCGCCGGGTTGGACTACTGTGCGAAAAAAAAGGGTTAGATGCTTATGATGGGGCATTTCACCTGTTCTCACCAATGATTTTCTTTAAATGAGCTTGTGCTAGTTCCTTCGCCCCCAAGGCGCTGGAGATATTGCCTTGCCTATTTGATCCTTACCTCAAGGATCGCAGAGCATATGGAATGCCCCTACAACTCTATTTTCACCCAGAGAGTCTTCTCCATGATTTATCACTCTCGTGGCGCTTACAATTCTATATATGTTTTTTGGATTATATTTATTTTTTTATTTTATGCATTTCACATCAATTCCTGCCTTAATGGAACTGAGCATATTTACTAACCGCTTCCCCATTCTACATCCTATGTAATACCCTAGTCATTACAGTTGACAATTTGCGCCGTGGTAGCAGACGAAGACATTTTTAGGAAGCAACCAGGTAATCAAGCTAAGTTAAGCTTCTTTAAGTATCCGAATGCGAAGTCATGTTTGAATTTCTCTCAGCATTCGAATGTTCAAATCCGGAGATCACCGACTCGATCAGACTGCTTTTCCTGAACGCTCATAATGATGCTCGACTGAGTGTGGCAAAAGGTTTGGAGCCGAACAAGTGTGGATCCTTACCGGCAGCAAAGAACATGTACAAACTGGTAACAACCTCGATGTTTCTTAATAATTAAGGGTCAATACGTCAACCAAGTAATCGTTTAGTGCCTTTCCATAGTCCTTACATAAATAGTAGAGATAGTTATTTGCCAAGATAGCGAGCAATTCAAGATGAGTACTTAAGCAGTGGGACTGCTCTCTGGAAGAGAAAGCGCAAGGCCTCATCACCACTTGTCCATGGTGGACGAAGTCCATCGGCGGCCTGTCTCGCAATATTTATACGTGAGTCTGAATTCACCTCATCAAGGGATTATATTGTTACCGCCAAGTGACCACTTTTGTTATTGTAGTATTAGTAAGTACGCCCCGGATCCCTGACGAATAGAGAAGAAAAAAGGTTGAGGAAAAGGACAGCATGTACGCTCTAATTCGAAAGACGAGAAGAGCGTCGAGTGCAGACCACACACCAAAAGCAACGGTGAAGGGAAAAAACCATTTTCTCGGCCGTCGTCACTTGTGGTGTGGTCTGCACTCGATGCTCTTCTCGTTTTCCGAGATAAAGGACATCATCAACATCGCGTCGGTGTTGACATGGCCACATAATGTTGGCAGTGGTGAGAGCACTACGATCCTGGTGATGGACTACAGGATGTTACTACAAATGCACACGATAATTTTAGTTCAAAACCCGCTACGCAGCTTTCTCACCCTTGGCTTTAATGTCCCGGAAAATTGTGACTTCTTGTGGCTTCAGATTCATGAAAGTAAAGTCTCTTTTAGCACCGGTATACGTTCTACTTCGAATTCGGCCGTTGTGGTTGCCAACATCTTGTCGCTATGGTGGGGAAGAGTTCGTGAGTATGGTAGCATTGATCCTGATAATAAATACACCAACCCGGCGCTTTACAACTTTGCCAATGTGAGTTACTATCCTGATATTAAAAGGGGCTTCAGTCATCTTATCCAACTCGTGAGCATCTCAGAGAAGCGAATTTTTCAGCTGTTCTCCGAGTACAGCAGCTAAATATTATTTACAGATGGTTCATTCGAAAACGACCGGAATCGGATGTGCTTACAAGGTTTGCGGAGGAACGCGGCTGACAGTTATGTGCCTCTATAATAGAATGTGAGTCTTGGGGAATGGAGGTAATTCTCAGGATACTGAAATAAACAATAGTTTTCAGTGGATATTACACAAATAGTGTTATGTGGGAGATGGGGAACGCATGCAGATCAGATTCTGAATGCACCACGTATCCTGAATCATCGTGCTCCGAAGGACTTTGCATCAAAGAGCTCGAAAAGCCTGGTGAGCCGGTTGAGTAAAAAAACTATACAATCAGATGGTGCGCGTAGCGCGCAGGAAGAATTAATGTATGGGAGAAGATGGCGCAGCGGCAAGAAGCGCCGCATACCATACTCCGGTTCGGAGGTCAAATTCAAGCTTGCAACTCGTCCAAGACAACAAAGCCTTCTTCTTTTGCGGGCGAACAATTGGTGCCACACATTTGTCGTGCACGATAAAACGAAGACTTGTGTATCGAATGTTTTTGCCTATCGTACTAAAGTGTTACCAAAAAATTAAAAGAAAGTGAAATGCGCGATGTATCCCAGAAAGGTGTCGCCAACGTTGGAAGCCTCATTCTATACCCTTGGATATAGCAAATTCCCACTCCTATTTACCCTTTTTTAAATTTTTGATGCATAAGGAAAACCCGTGGTAAGGAGGCGGACATATAGTGCGATCACATCGGCATAAGCTGGGTCTCAGAAATCTCACTGGATCTCAAGGATTCTGAAGAAGAGCGGATAGCTCACGTTGCCATAATGCCAAAGTAAAGAGGCGGAGCTGGACATGGTTGACGGATGCGTTGTCTGGCACCTCAGGATGTGGCTCATGCGCTCCGTTGCCAATGGGATCGCGCCATGTGACGCGCAGTCCCTCCTCTCCACCCTGATTCTCGTGGAACAGGTCTACAAGTGACGAGTGAAGCTTCGAAGCAATAAAAGATTCTGATAATTCAGATTCTGGCTCCAGTGTAATGTGCCCATCGGATGGCAACATGACGGATGCAACACGACAAAAATTCCTCGACATGCATAACTACCTCAGGTTCGTCGGCTGAACTTATTCATTTGGTTGAACCGTCAGAAACAATACAAAGACAGATAAGATGAGCCTTCAAAGCGGTGAGTGCATCCATCACAGATCACGTGTCGCCAATGGCCTCGAGCCGGACGCGCTTGGCGGAAACGCCCCTAAAGCATCAGAAATGCTGAAAATGGTGAGCGCTTATTTACTCGTACATCAGAAGACAAACAACTCCTGAAAGTTGAAATCTTATATGTTCTGAGTACGATTTCAGGTCTATGACTGCGACGTTGAAGCATCTGCGATAAGGCACAGCCAAAAGTGTGTATATGAACACTCGTCACCGAGTGATCGCCCAGGATTGCGAGAAAATCTTTACTCAACATCTGTATTGAATGTTGAAAGAGTAACTGTGGCAGCCGTGGTTAGTTGAGCATTACGTTGAAAATGGCATAAGTGGGGGGGGGGCTCCATGAGCCAATACAGGGTCTTGATAAACGTCATATTTTTCAATGCCGTCAGAGGTTCATCATTGGATCTTTGCCCCCCCCGTTCAGAATCGGCAAAGGTGTTCCTGCCCTCTAGCCAGTATGGATTCTTGCGTCATTCCATGCCCTGCGTTCCCTTTTCCTTACCGCCCCGCCTTCCTCACCAGGAAGGTCTTTCAGGGCGTGACGAGCTTTTTGAAAACGGTCTTTTGCATGATATAGGGGCAGATGCGGGGACCACAGAACCATGTTTAATTTTTCCTGAACGGCCCTCTGAATACCAGAAAAGGGGGTCTCCTAGTTCGTCTGTAGGGGTGCGCTAAAATTTTTGCATTTCGAGTTGACGTGCCAAAATTCGCGCAAAATGGAGTTAGAACCAACCAGAACAATCAGAACTCCATTTTGCGCGAATTTTGGAACGTCAACTCGAAATGCAAAAATTTGTCACCAAGAGGAATCGAACTAGGGACCCCCTTTTCTGGTATTCAGAGGGCCGTTCAGGAAAAATTAAACATGGTTCTGTGGTCCCCGCATCTGCCCCTATATCATGCAAAAGACCGTTTTCAAAAAGCTCGTCACGCCCTGAAAGACCTTCCTGGTAAGGGCTGTTCAAAACGAAGGTGTCACTGAAGCTTTTTTTCTTGGCTTATCAATGACCTTATATCGATCCTTATCGCTAGAGGAGCAGAGCACAATGAAGTTCCAACCCCCCCCCCCCCCCTATCCCCCGCGCTCATCTCCATTATGCACTAATAGATGGGGTGCATAACCAAACCACATTTCGTTTCAAGGGTGAGTTCTTCAAAGTCCTAATATTTGTATTTCCATCATTAGTTTATTGCTACTTTTTGACTATATTATCTATTTATGATGAGATCGCTGGGATTCGTAGCCTTCTTGTGTCAGCTCCGTTTCCTGTACGCCTTCTTCTCGTTCGTCGGGCGTGGTCTTGGCCAGACGGCATGTCAATATCGCAGCGTCGATCTGAGTGCTTACTGATAATTTGGCAGGCCGTTGCCAAGATTACATGCCATATACTGCTTAGATATGTCAGGCTCAAGATTTGGTGGACGAGCCTGAAAACTATGTATTTTGGGCCCGGAGAATAGCTGATGAGCTCTGATACAGGCGCCGGAGAATGGAAGGTTGCCCATTATCCAGGTTATTTGCAACAAATTGACCTCTTCTTTTCTTCCTCCTTTTATATTTTCTAGCTAAGGAACGGCGTATACGCGCTTTGTAGGCCACAGAGGGGTAACGCAGCGAGCCGTCGATGGGGCGGAGGCAGAGGGCTAGTGCGGTAGACGGATAGTTGCAGCGTCCCACCACATTTTGTAGATGTATCATGCGTGATTCATTTCAATTACCGCCCCAATTGCTCATGACCCGTCACTCGTCCGGCTGACCGTCTCCCATCATTGCGGGTGTTCTGTCCCCAACAGGCCCACCGCGCGGCGAAGCAAGAGACGCAGATGCGGCAAAGAGACGAGTTGCAGCGCGTGCTGTGCGATATGAGACGTAGTATGGTACACTCTCTTTAACCTGACGCCTAACCGCTACAGTATGCGCTGCGACTCGTCCCTTTGCCGCGTCTGCGTCTCTGCTTCGCCGCGCGGTGGGCCTGTTGGGGGACACTCCGTCTTGCCTCTATTGCTGGCATGCGGCCTCGCCTGTGGGGTACAGATACAGTGAAACCCAAGCGTCACAAAACGGTTGACGTGCTGCGCCACAGATTTATACGTTTAGCTGCTTGGAAATGCGTTAGGTAAAGTGACATCGAATTCTGCTTGTTTTTTTTCTCCAATTTTGCTCTTATTTTATTTCGCGCTAACATCGAGAGTTTCTCTAATATTTTGGTATTGCAATAGAAGTAAAAAAATAATGAATCGTAACCTTGTCGAATTCGCATCACGGAGTAAACAGTATCAGATTGACACAAGGACTAAGTAATTTGACGCAAAGAAGCTGAGTATGCTGAGTTCACTACCTCTGACCGTCAACTGTGAGCGCCGTTGAAACGTTGTAATCCTGAACGACACCCTACCAGGACGGAACTGAGCTGTTGCTCTCGCTAAGGTGACCCAGACCTGGTTCTGAATGCTTCTCCCAAAATATTTTAATGAAGCATACTCCACGGAAGGTGCTCCAGAACCAGTGAAGACCTTTTTTACTGCCGGGCCATCTAGTAGTGAAAAAGTCCAACATTTCAGATGGCATGGGATCGTACGTACAGGCTTGGCTGTTCCGTTCAACACTGTCCAACGTTCACTTACGCTGTCTGTCATTATTCACCTGCGTACGTTTGATTCTTTTTTACGGCGCTAGTGCGCTCTTTCCTGGGCGTAATCTGTACCTGGTTTTGCCCTTGCATAGCACATGACACCATCATAAAGAGAAGAAGTCAGTACTTATTCGCAATACTTGAGAAGATTTTCATAACCGTCGCACACTTCTTTGCTACATGCTCTTATGTAAGACTTGATACTGTCATTTTTCAGCGGAAATTTTGTGAATCAGCTGATCTACGCAATAGGAGATCCATGCACGGATGACAAACACTGCCCAGGATCTTACACCTGTAGTCCATCAGAAGGGCTTTGCAACGTGGCATAGATAAAGCCAGTGCTCCAACAATGATAGATGCATCATTAGTTTGTAATCACAATGGGACTAATACGTATTGATCATTACCTATTTTGTGCACGTTTGTTTATATGGATGTACATGGGTTCTATTTAGGATCCTAACTCGATCTTACAGTTTCTGATCAATACTGTCATTTGTCCATGCACTTAGTACTTATTTCCACTACCTTGAATGTATTTATTTTACCACTGCCAGTGGGAAGGACGTGCTGGCCTTAGCGAGGTTTACAATTTAAGATAGACATTCTACCCTAATATTTCACTGTTGTGGTTGGACTAACACGAAGAACGCCTCATTTTCCTGAAGCCATATTGGAAGAATGCTGCCATGTCCGAGGGTACACACGTACAGACTTGCTTTGCGAATTTCAGAATGCAGCAAGAAATCATTGCAGCGATCCGTCTTTCATTTCACTAGTCAAGGGTGTTATTGGATCTTTACGATGCTTACTGTTGAAATCGAAAGCTGGAACTGGCATTGTTTCCTGTCTCATGGAAACGCATGAGCGAGGGGTGCTGTTCAAACTGTACGAAGAATCAGGGTCAGTCCTATTTCGAAAAGTTTACTCAGCTACTTTTCGAAAAGTTTTTACGACCCCCTCCTTCAGGAAATGTTTCCTACGACCCCCCCCCCTTTCCGACCAATTTTTACCCCAAAAAATTACCGTCGAGCGGGGGGGGGGGGGGGTATATACTTCCCATAAAACCGCAAAAATTCCCTACATTTCCCTACAATTTCCCTATATTTTACCCATATTTCAACTGCTCCATTTTCTAGGGGGGGGGGGATATACGCGCGCTGAAACGGCAAATTTTCTCCCGCGCCGCTCCCCACTCATCACATGCAACTTCTTACAACCGAAGCAAGTACGACCCCCTCTACAAACTCACCAAAATACGACCCCCCGTTGCTACTTGTAGCAACATAGGGTTGACCCTGCGAAGAATTCAAGCTGTCAGTTTAGTACAATAAACTTACAGGACACATTTGCCCATTAAGGCTCCTCACCAATAAGAGAATTTATGAGGGTGAACGTAAGAGCAGAAAGTTCGTATGTAAAAGATACAATGAAAAATTAGTGTGACACAGATTTTGTGGAGTTCCCTCGAGTTGAAGCCTGATGGCAAATTGATTCGAGATTTTCTTCCTCGTCAAGCCATCTTGCAAAGGAAGCGTTTATCCTCCGTGCTGGCTACCTGTAAGCTCACCTTATTGAAACAGCTTCCGAGAACAAAAAATACAAGTAGAAAAAGCAATCGCTGACTAAATATTTACTGCACCCAGGGAGAACTCTCTATCTATCGGTTATCCAAGAACATTACGCCTTCAGTGGAATACGCCACAAACCCGTAGTCCAAATCGTGGAGGCGTGGGAGTACAGTAGAATGAGAGGGCAATCTTCATCTTAGAATATGATGGATTCGATCGATATGTAGAATAGAAGGTAGATTACCTGCTGAGTCTCCCCTTCCGCGAAGAACGTGCTGCAGATTACTTGGTTGACCGTAGCAACATTTTTCCAGGGGAGCACAAAATGATTTTTTATTTTGCACTAGGTTCAACCCCCCCCCCATCAATGGCGAGTCTGCTCCCTTTTCCTTTTCTCTCTACGTGAAATTTTCAATCAATATCAACTTCCGCGATTGTCTAGGTTTCAAAACCCTAAAAGATTTAGATCGTTCCAATGGACTACGGAGAACCCAACGTTGGCAAACCCTTCGATTAAGCCGTGGAAGCTATCTTTCATAACTAAACTATGCTTCGATTTTTGTAGATTTAAGTCGCACTCATAAGAAATTCTGGGAAATTAATAATAGAATGCGCTAAGTGTTTGTCCCTGAAAAATCCTGCCGCTCCCTAAAAATCACCTGGTCATCTTAAAATAATTCTTGCAATTTGGAGAAGTTCTGCAATAGGCAGAAAATTTGATCTGCCAGATCGGTTGACGTGACGAGCCCTACTGTGCCTATATACTCCATTGCAAATTTGTTTTTTTTTTGTATTAGGATTCGTTCATTGAAAATTTTGAAAAATTTAGAGTAGAAAGCGCTAAGTGTTTGTCTCGAAAAATTTTAGCAGTCAAGCAATTCCTAGCTCATTATCTTGAAATAATTCCTACAGATTGGCGAACTCTCATACGCGATCGAGACCACCCCTGTAGCTCCGAGTCGACCAACCTTTTGTGCAACTGTGTAGCGTGGGCAGTCGAAAATGTCCAGTGGGCTGTCTTTGCATCGTTAACCGCCTTTAATACGCAAACGCAGATGTTCCTATGGGTCAGAGGGGTCTCATCCGGTAAGAGGGACATGTTGTGCGACAGTTCTTGCGGGCTACAGAAATTCCAATTTTTTCAAAGGGAAAGAACCATTTGAGCGTTCACACCCGCTCCTCAGCTCCCCTCCCCTGCAGAAAAGTGGATTAACATATGCGACATGAACTATCGCACCTTACTGGATGAGATCCTCCTAGAGCACTCCTCGCCGTCTGCAGACC